TTTAGGGACCTACAGGGTTAGGCAACATCTAAATGGGAATTGTGTGACTCATAGTGCGTCTAGGTCTGGGGGTGAGGCGCTTATGTACCTTTGTGGAGCTGCGCCTCGGGGCCTAATTTTAGGCCCTGGCTTCCACTTCTCCCCAAACACATGCATGCTCACTTGAACAATTCAAATAGCTGTGTACATGCTAATATTACAATTTGCATCCAAGACAAGTGGGTTTTGCAGATGCAAATTCTTAACACTTCTGTGGTCACAGTTGTTATAGTTGTTAAAGTGCGCTCGCAGGTATTCACAGGTTCAAAGTGAGGATGGGTATGTGGAGTGGGTGAAGTCTGGAAATTCACAAGACAAGACTGGTTAGAGGCCCAGCTGAATGTCTAGTGCGGAACTGCTCTGTCTCAGTTCCACAGTCTGTGAAAGGGTTCTTTGGTGCATGAATTAGTTAATGTTTATGAAGTACTTTGAAGATGACAAGAACTATTTGAGGGCTAAGTATTATTAGTTATTTAGTATTAGGAGAAATAAATAAAGAAGCAGACATAAGAAGCCTATCCAAAGCTACAGACCCAATTCAAACTAAAGAGCAGAGAATAGGAGGATCAAACTGACATGGCAAAGCAGGTAGAAAGGCAAAATGAGGCAGAGTCAAAGTTCACATAAGGTTTTGTTTTTGGTGGTGATCTCGCTTTCATCATATTTGTTCTTTAAACTTTCTTTCATTCTTGCATTTTTCTCTGAACTTGTATAACTCAGCTCCTGTAGCCCACAAGGCTGTTGGTATTTCACTTTAATCTCGTTATACAACTAAATCAAGAATGAAAGGTAGAAAGCTTTTTTCCAAAACATACCTATTTATGTGTCTGTGATTAGAAACTGATTTCATGTGGTTTTCCGCTCTCTTTTGTAAATAGCTAATAATTGGTTGTTAGTTGGGCCCAAAGAATGTCTCCAAGTTTTATCTTCCTTTATGCAATATCAATATTTAAATATTAGTAAAAAACCATTAAATGATCATTAATAAAGTCTCCCTGAAAAGGACTAATTGAATAGCCATTTATAAAACACAATACTTCAGCAAATGATTCCTAATTATATACATGTTTGTATGGTTCCCATCAATGCCATATGTGAGTACCTCCCAAACACTCATGTATTTATCCACCCAAACATTGTGATATTAATCCCGTTTTACGGAGCGGAAATTGATATGCATAGGGAGAAAGTAACTTGTCCAGGTTTCAATATGTAGAGAGAAATTTAATCCAGATGTGTTGAGTCCCCATCAGTACTTTAGCCACGAGGCCCATTCCTTTCATCCAGCAGGTGTACGGTTTGGTTATAGAATAAGCAAGATGACATTCAAAGGTATGCTGCTCCTGTGCCCGCATCTTGTACAGTGTCTTGTGCCTAGGCAAAACGAATGTAAAATGCTGTCAGTCTGCATACGGGAATGGAGAATTCTGATTTGGTTGCATTTTACATCCACTTTATACTTACTTTGCACGAGTGTAAATGACTGCACAAGGTGTAGGGCAATGGAGAATCACTGAGGCCCATAATGTTTGGCCATTTATCTAGCTGACCAGTTGGACAAAAAAGCAAAAGAAAACCCTACCTCTTTTTTCCTCATCACAAAAGTTTTCTAGCAACCTCATGTTCTATTCCCCTGGAGAATCAATGTCAAATCAGGACACTTGTAACTGAAGGTGTGAACAAAAATATTCAAGAAAGGGAGAACCTTAAACCACCTTCTCTCCTCCCAATTGTCTAGATCACAGGCTCAGTTGTGGCACACTAGCCCTACCTGTATCCTTCACATCATTCTTTTTTCTTGGATTCCAAGGTAGCTCAGATGAGAACTACAAATGTCTTGCTCTGATTAGGTATTCTTGTTGGGAGCAGATTTAAACTCTACTCCTGAATGAGAACAGTTGAGAAGTGAATAGGATTTGAACACAAAGTTTAAGCTGGAGCCACTATTAAGTTTAGCTTGATAGTGGCTCCAGGGGCAACAGGAAATGTAGCAACAGAAGGAGAGGAAGGGAAGGGGAAATGGAGGAAGAAATCTGGGGAAGGATAAATTAGAGACTGAATTAGGAGAGAGTTATCTCTGGATGGCCTTATGAAACTATGTTCTTCCTTCCTCTTTGTTGTATCTTCTAAATCTTTAAGCCTATCTGAAATAAAAATCTCGTGTTTCAGGGTGGAAGCTGATTGCCAGAAGCATCAGGAAGAGAATTATTTTCCATAGACAGAATTGCACAATTAACAAAGCATATTTTAGGTCTCTCTTGTTTACTTTCCTCTGAAGCACACAGCACAGTACTGGCTGCTGCAGGAGGCAGGATATCGAATTTGATGGTTTGTTCATGCATAGCACATCCTGTGTCCTTGCCTAACATGGTAAAACATTTAATTGATTGGTCAAGCTCTCCTTTTCAGATACCAGAACCACAACAAGCCTTCGCAGCCCTCGGACTTCATGGACTTCAAGTGTCTCTCCCCATATCTCTCAACCCCGCAGAAATAAAATCAGCTCTGCCTCTGCTAATGTGGTCTTCTTAAAATATCTGGAATCACTGGCACTTGATGATATAGGTTTAATATGTATTTCCTGTGCCCCTACTTCTAAATGTATTGATTTGCTACCGTTTTACAATTATCTCTACACTTCAGAAAACACATCTCTAGAGATTAGCCACCTGTTTCCCCCTCACTGCCCTGCTTTCCTCCCCCCAAAAATAAAACTATTAAAACTATTATCCATCAAGCAACTTTAAAAAAACTATAGAAAAATGCATATGCAAAGGCATCTTTTAAAAAAAAAAATTTATTCCCTACCTTTTTTTTTTTTTAAAGTGGAAGCAAGGTCAGCATTGCTTTAGTAAAGTATGTTGCTGTTTACATTTACTGTAGTGCCCTTTTGGTCCCAAAGCCTCTATGGGAATTTAACAAACTGGACAGCTAATTGCTTCGAGCACCTTTTTAAAGTTCACACTAAATACTACCTGGAAGTGTGTTGTGCTGTGTTAATGGGCTTCCAGCAGAAGTCTCTTGAAATATTTTTTTTTCCTTTTCAGCCTGCATTATGATTTTGTGTCTGAAATTTAAGGATCCTTCCAAAGTGGAAGCACGTGCTAACAACAGATAACATAATCTGCACACTACTTTATAAAAACCCCAAGCTTTTTTTTCTTGGTCATTTGTGGTTTCCATATGGCTTGGTGGGTAGCACACCCTTTTCTGAGACCGAAGGTCTTTCTTCACCTCAAACAAGCCGTGGGCTCAGCCTCGTTCCCCGTGCTGATACTGCAGTGCTGTTTTAGGCAGGTTGTACGGCATTAGAGATGCGGTTCTTTGGAGAAGATAAACCAAAGTCCCTCTCTGTCTGTTTCTGATAAGAATGGAAGTTAACCCTGGCATCCTGTGAGACAGGTTCTGAGGCCTGTGTATGAGTCACCAAAGTGTGAATAACGGTGTTGTATTAATAAACATAATTACCATGTTGTCACTTTTAGCTCTTTATACGGATCGGTTATTCTTGTTGGTCAACAGGAACAAAAATTGAATATTTGCATCTGCAGTAATGACAGCTTAGGTTAAATATTAGGAAAACTTGCAAAGGAGCAAGCTGTCAAGGGTAGTTACACAATCACTATTACTGAGAATATTCAAGGTTATGCTCAGTATGCATCCATGGGTTCAGAAAATGAAACACATCCTAGTATAGTGTGTTGGATGGAGTATTCCACTGCTGACCCCCTTGACTTCCCTTCCAAATTTAATAATCCTGGTTTACTATAACTTCGGGAAATCTGGATTCTGAAAGGTGCTATAGAAGAAAAACAAATTCTGTCCTATTGCTCTTTTTATAAGGAATTTATTTTTATGAGCCCAAGGCATCCTTTTGATCAAGAATTTTGTATTAATGTTTCTTGCCCATCTAAAGGACTCTCTCAAAATGTATTTATCACAGATCTAATTTAAATTAGAGAATGGATAAGGGATGAGGGGTTTTTTCATGTAGACCAAGCACTTATCTGTATATTCATATTGTAAAAAGTGAAGCCTAATGTACTTTGATATTGGATTTTGTGGGCAGGACAGCATGAATTGAGAAATCCCCTCCTCACTTGAGCACAAAGATGACCTAAAGCAAGCAAGCTGAGAGAATTTCAGCGTTTGTGTGCCTCCTCTACTGGAAAAGGAGCACAAGTCAAGATCAGCTGATTCAGAGCAAGTTTTCAAATCCCTCTGATAACATCCCAAATGTATCGGTCCTTTTGAGGAAGAACCGTGTGATCTTTTGCTCCATCCACTTCATTTGAGCACACTTAAATTGTAGCATTGTCAGTTCAATTTAGTGGAACCAAAATCTTTGTACTAGTTGAATGCAGGTGCTCTTTTGAATAATGGATATTTTATTTTTTATTTAATATTGTCAGATTCTGACCTGCTGTTCCAGACCCTTGCAGCATAAAGATAGGTGAATTCCTTGTTTAGATTTATAATAAGAACTCTTATCGCCAGCAGTGGTTTTGTTTTATGATTTAAATTATTGAAAAACTCATTTAGACAAATTCATCCTTGGTGCAAATTCATCCTTAGTGCAAGTTAGTGCAGAATTTGGCTCGGTGTTCCTTTTATGCAAACTGTCGCCGAGGTTAACGTTTCAGAGTTTCTGTTATGTACTAGTGACGTGCGCTTGTTCTCTCTATGTTAACAAGCCTTCCTTTCCACGTCTTGTTCAAGCTGTTGCTGGATCAAAATCCAGGGGCCAGATCCAGAGCTGGTATAAATTGACATCACTCCATTTAAGTCAAGGTAGTTTTACACCAGCTGAGGAGCTGGCCTTACATCCATAGGTGGTGTGTGTTTAATATTTCAGTAGAGGTTATAATCTGTCATCTCCACTATGTCTATTATTAATACTGCTTTACTCTTGTATGAGGAAAAAAAAAACTCTCTACAAAGCTTTTTCTTTTTCTTTGCAGTTTTGTATGGAGTTGAACCAGCCGACTCTGCCAAATATCCGCAAATGGAAGGGCCCTAGAGGATGCTGGAAGGGTGTTGTTTCCGAGAAACCTTCAGGCGAGCTACATAAGGTACATTAATCCCCAAAGCTTGACCTTTTACTTCATTTTCTTTTGCTGTAGCCAAGGACATATTTTTAATTTGGGCCAAAGCATTCAGCAATTTTTTTTTCGGCAGGGGTGGGGGGCAAGGTTTGCAATTCTCTTCTATTTTGAGCTGACTCTTCTTGTGGTATTTGATTTTACTTTTGTTACTGATTTTTCAAAGAGTGATTTTTTTCTTTCTGTGTAGCCAGGAAGCAAGGAAAAAATATATATTTAAAAAAGAAGAGTGTGTGGCAAAGGCCACACAATAGGATAAGAAAATAGTCCTGCATTCTGCATGCTGACACACTGACGTACTTCCCAAGTACTAGTCTGCTAGTCAGCTAACCTTGTTCCATGATAAAATGTTGGCTGGAAGTTGGTAATGTTTCCAGTTTTCTTAGTTTGCAAATTAAGATCTCACAGGGACTCTCTTCAGTGCTCTTTTGTCATCTGGAAAAGTAGCTTACCTTCTATGTCCCATCAACTGTATCTTGCATATATTTAAAGTACACTGTGGGCACTATTAAAAAATAAACACAGTACTGCAGTGTTACTTTTACTGCAGCACTTCCTATATTAAGAGTGTATATTGTAGCAATGTATTTATCCTGTAATGTAATGAACAATTATTTATTGGTACCCACCGCTGTTGACAATATACAAAATATATTTACACTGAGCTAGATTCTGCCAGCCTTCCAGAGGATAAGTAGTGCCTTACTCTTCGAGTAGCTGTCTTATTTATTCCAGTGAGACTACCTGAGGATAAAGTACTCTTCAGCATGCCAGGATCTGGTCTGTTGTTATTAAATATGGTAATTTGCATGGCACTTATAATTGTATAGTTGGGTATTCTGCACACCTTATGTCATGAAGATGAGACATGTCCCCATGGAAGGAAATGAATTGTTTGTGGTTGTGCAAGGGGATTATTTTCAGTCTATTCTGGGTATTGTTTTTATGAAACAGATGGTAACGGTTGTGTCCCATTAAATACCTCATCACAGTACTGAAAAAAGAACCCACAGCTTCATTTTTCTCCTCCACATATGAATCATGTTACTATTCAAGTTTGTTCATGGCTTGTTGTGACAGTTGTTGGGTGCTGTCATGGTTTTGAAGTGGAAGCTAAAGGAAAAAAAGCATTTCCTTTACAAATTAGGTACAGCTACTGGGACTAATCGAAAAGCCACACAAGCATCATAAGAAATGTATTCTAGCAATCACTGGAAACACATTGATGATTTGAATACTTTTTAGTAGGGCTGTCAAGCAATTTCAAAATTAATCGTGATTAATCACACTGTTAATAATAGAATACCATTTATTTAAATATATTTGGATGTTTTCTGCATTTTCAAGTATATTGATTTCAGTTACAACATAGAATACAAACTGTAAAGTGCTCACTTTACATTTATTTTTTATTACAAATATTTGCACTGTAAAAAAAAAAGAAATTGTATTTTTCAAATCACCTCATACAAGTACTGTAGTGAAATCTCTAGAATGAAAGTTGAACTTACAAATGTAGAATTATGTACAAAAAAAACCTGCATTCAAAAATAAAACAATGTTAAACTTTAGAGCCTACAAGTCCACTCAGTCCTACTTCTTGTTTAGCCAATTGCTCAGACAAGCAAGTTTGTTTACATTTTCAGGCGATAATGCTCCCTGCTTCTTGTTTACAATGTAACCTGAAAGTGAGACCAGGCCTCTGCATGGCACTGTTGTAGCCAATGTCACAAGATATGTGTCTGCCAAATGCGGTAAAGATTCATATGTCCCTTCATGCTTCAACCACCGTTCCAGAGGACGTGTCCATGCTGATGATGGGTTCTGCTCAATAACGATTCAAAATAGTGCAGACCGACGCATGTTCATTTTCATCATCTGAGTCAGATGCCACCAGCAGAAAGTTAATTTTCTTTTTTGGTGGTTCGGGGTCTGTAGTTTCCACTTCGTAGTGTTGCTCTTCTAAGACTTCTGAAAGCATGCTCCGCACCTCATCCCTCTCAGACTGGGGTCGAGTGCTGTAGCTATCCTTAGAAATCTCACATCGGTACCTTCTTTGTGTTTTGTCAAATCTGCAGTGAAAGTGTTCTTAAAACGAACATGTGCTGGGTCATCATCCGAGACTGCTATAACATGAAATATATGGCAGAATGCAGGTAAAACAGAGCAGGAGACATACAATTCTCCTCCAAGGAGTTCAGTCACGAATTTAATTAACGCATTATTTTTTTAACGAGTATCATCAGTGTAGAAGCATGTCCTCTGGAATGGTGGCTGAAGCATGAAGGGGCATATGACTGTTAAGCATATCTGGCACATAAATAACTTGCAATGCCGGCTATAAAAGTACCATGTGAATGCCTGTTCTCATTTTGAGTTGACATAAATAAGAGGTGGGCAGCATTATCTCCTGTAAATGTAAACAAACTTGTTTGTCTTAGAGATTGGCTGAAGAAGAAGTAGGACTGAGTGGACTTGTAGGCTGTAAAGTTTTACATTGTTTTGTTTTTGAGTGCAGTTATGTAAGCAAAAAAAATCTAGATTTGTAAATTGCACTTTCACAATAAAGAGATTACACTTCAGTGCTTGTCTGAGGTGAATTAAAAATACTATTTCTTTTTTTATCATTTTTACAGTGAAATATTTGTAATCAAAATAATATAAAGTGAGCAGTGTACACTTTGTTTTGTGTTGTAACTGAAATCAATATATTTGAAAATGTAGAAGAACATCCAAAAATATTTAATAAGTTTCAATTCGTAATCTATTGTTTAACACCGCAATTCAAACTGTGATTAATTAATAAATTGCAATAAATTGACAGCCTTACTGTTTAAGTTTTAATGTGAATACGTGACAGTACCTCATTGGGTGCACAATGAGCTAATCTATTTCAAGGCATTTTTAATCCTTGGTTGGAAAATGCCATTTCTACTCTCTGTTACTAGATTCACCACAGCATTTGATGGCTGGGGTATAGGAAACCAGAGTTATGCAAGCATTCATTTGCTGTTTTAAGAACACCATTTAGCTGCACCTGAGAGAAAGCATGGTCTTGTTAATATACTCTGCTGTGACTCAGGACAACTGGGTTCATTTCCCAGTTTTCGCAAAAAGAAAAGGAGTACTTGTGGCACCTTAGAGACTAACCAATTTATCTGAGCATGAGCTTTCGTGAGCTACAGCTCACTTCATCGGATGCATACCGTGGAAACTGCAGCAGACTTTATATACACACAGAGATCATAAAACAATACCTCCTCCACCCCACTGTCCTGCTGGTAATAGCTTATCTAAAGTGATCATCAAGTTGGGCCATTTCCAGCACAAATCCAGGTTTTCTCACCCTCCACCCCCCCCCCGCCCCCACAAACTCACTCTCCTGCTGGTAATAGGCTATTACCAGCAGGAGAGTGAGTTTGTGTGTGGGGGGGTGGAGGGTGAGAAAACCTGGATTTGTGCTGGAAATGGCCCAACTTGATGATCACTTTAGATAAGCTATTACCAGCAGGACAGTGGGGTGGGAGGAGGTATTGTTTTATGATCTCTGTGTGTATATAAAGTCTGCTGCAGTTTCCACGGTATGCATCCGATGAAGTGAGCTGTAGCTCACGAAAGCTCATGCTCAGATAAATTGGTTAGTCTCTAAGGTGCCACAAGTACTCCTTTTCTTTTTGCGAATACAGACTAACACGGCTGTTACTCTGTTTCCCAGTTTTGTGAGACTTCCTTTGTGACATTAGCCAGGTGAAGGCGACTTACTCTATGTGCCTCAGCTCCCTTTCTGTAAAATGGGGCGGTGGGGAAAGGAATAATTACTCTTTCTCCCCAGCCTCTGACTATGTGTCTGTGGATCTAGCACAATAGAACCCTGAACTCCTGGCACTAATTATAATAATTATAATTAATAATGTGTAGGATAAAGTGCAGTTGGTGATTGAGTCAAGGAGGTCTCTGACTTTTACTGGTGTTATGAACCATTAAAATCTAGCTCAGAGTGGATTAGTTAGGTCAGTTTACAATTTCTAAGAATTATACTCTAGAGCCTCCATCCTAAGGGACCTACAAGCAGGGTCCTTGCTCCTGCACAGAATCCCATTAGCTTTGATAGGACTCCCATCTCTATGATGGGATACTGATCCCCTTTGCGGCGTTGGGATCTATTGTAACATCTTAAAAATTAGACCAATTGAATACGAAATATAGAAGTGGTGTAAAGTTCCCCCCGTTACACTTTCAAAAAATTACATATTCACTGTCTTTCTGTATTCCTGGACCCAGTCCAGAAGTCTTTTCTCTGCTTTTACTTGTGCCAAACTCCTACTGAAGTCAATGGGAGTTTTAACTGAGTGACTGATGAATAACCATGAGGAAGCCTGTTTCACAGGTACAGAGAAGTTAAATGACCTGCACAAATCACAGAGGAAGTCTATGCCCAAACTAGGAGTAAAAACTGTGTCCGCTGACTTCTGCTGTGATGTGCTTTATCAAGAAGCAAATCTGACTATGCTACTGAGCCACTAGCTATGCCAAGACATACAGCCTATGTCTTAGCTTATTTAGTGGCTCAGGAGCATAGTCAGATTTGAGCAGTCAGCACACACAATACAATACCATAGCCTAGCCATACGTTGTGTGGTATCTTTAGCACAAACTGCATCCAAGACATTTTACAGTGATCAATAATACAAGATGGTGGATGGGGAGACCCATGCTCCCACACAACCCTTTCATTTGACAGAGGCACCGTTCCTTGCATTTGGTTTCTCAGCCCCTCCAAATGTTGATTTCTGGCTGTGAGTGTAATGAGGTAGTCTGGAGCCAGGGAATGGAGAGAACAGGGGAGAGCTGTTTTTTCCGTCCTCATATTACTTATTTATATGGTACAATAGTCTTGTGCCAGATGAAATAGTTGTGGTACTATTTTAAAGTTTTATGCAGTCTTTAACTGAGCTAGCAAAGAATTTGAGTTCATCCTAATGTCGTCTTACAAAGCCTATGGAAATACAGCACAGTGGATGCTGCTTTTTTATTGCAGCAGGGAATGGAAAGCCATTTCTACTACTGGCTTTAGCTATGATTCATCTGGAGGGAGGTGTTTAAAAAAGGTCAAGTAGAGGCAGAGGGGTGTGTGTGAGAGAGAGCAAGAGCAAGAAAGGCAGACAGACATTAGTGACCCCAGCAAGAGCTCCTGGAGATATTATATCTAAATCAGAGTAATTTCCTAGGATACCCAGAGAACCGATCTCAGAGTAGCCCATACTATACCCTTTGAAAGGATGCATCTTACACTGCACCAGACCATACCGCATGCAGCCATTTTACCAGTGGAATAGTTGAGGAGGTTTATTAAATTCAGAGACTGTTGACTAAATTTAGCAGTGCTGTAAGTTACATAGGCCTCAGTTGTCCAGAAGACAGATATAAAGTAGCTGTAAGTAGTGCAAAGCTGTGTAAATTGAGCGCTTGGTGCAAGCAGTTTTCGTTGAGGTCAGTGGAAGTTGTGGCTGAAGTGCCTTGCCACATCTGGGCTGAATTTGGCCATGGAGCATTCTTTTAGGGTGTTGTGGGCATAAATTCAAGTGAATGGGTAGAGGAGCTGTTTTACTCTCACATTCTACTGTTTGTAGCTTTGCTCTTCCTCCTCCTCCTCCTCGCCTGGCATGTGTGGTAAATTAAACTCATTCTGTGCCTCCACTGGATGCTAAATCAGCACAAGTTGCCCCACATTGCCATGTGTCTCATGTTTTCTGAACAGCTTCCGCCACCGTTGAGGATACTACTGACCTTGGACCCTAGACGCTGGTGGGAGTGATATGCTCCAGCTGCGTTGGGCTGAGTGTAGCCCTTTGTGCGAGTCGTGGAATGATGACGGGAACGGTGTCACGTTTCAGCTTTTGTTACCAGCTTTTTCCCTTTTTAATTGTAGGGTGTCGAATATTCTGGCTTCCTCTGGGACACGACGGCTGGCATCGAGCTGAAGGATGCGTCCTCCCAGGAGAGCGCCCACACTAATGGCAATGGGAAACGCGCCTACCCTCCCCCTTACCTTGCACATTTCAAGGTGGTGGCATCGTGTTGAGTTTGCCTTTTTAATTATGCTTCTGTAAAAACGTTTTAGATAGAAAATCTAAAGGAGCAACATTTCCTTTCTAATGACTAAAAGTTGCCTGGCCTTTAATGGAGGCCAATACAGTGACCTGTTATATCATAAGCAAAGCAGCTTGGCTGTACTCTGACTGCGATAAGGCATTAGCAGGCCTTATCCCTCTGTACTGAAGAAGTGAGAGTGAAGGCCCTTCTGCTCTCATGGACAGGGGGTAAACAACAATCAGCAGATCTCAGCAGCATGGACGATGGTGTAGAATAGGGCATGCTGACTCTCTGCTATGCTCCACCTCTTTATCAACCCAGGGGGAGCACTTCCATTCCCACACCACAGGCTATGCATGGTAGGAAGGGAAGGTATGGGGTGGGGCCTCTATATGTGGCATTGTCCCCTTTAAACTCCATGGGAACTGTTGGTATAAATCCATGCTAATCTTGTTCCACCTTCACCAAATGAACTCCTTTGAGGGTGGGGCAGGTCCAATAGAAATGACCACAGGACCAGTACAATTATGCCATAAACTCTGGGAGGAGGATGGGAAGCAATGCGGAAGCACAGGGGCTCCAGTAGCCTTGAGATCTGCAGGCTGAGCTCCCCGATGCCTTCAGGGGGCAGGACAGGCTCAAATCTTTCCCTTGGTGGAGAAATGTAAACTCAGTTCCACCAGTGAGACCTCACAAAGTTTGTAAGCTCTTTCACTGGGACAGCCCCTTTAGGCATGTCAACAAACTCTAGAAGCGTTGTCTGTCTGAAATGGGGTACTTGCCTGTGTGCCTGTATGTGTGTGAACAAAGGAGACCAAGTGTCAATTTGATGCACCTGCCTTCACATAAAATAAACTGGGCTACAGAGGGATCATGGTTTGTGACTATGATGCCTTTGATAATATTTGAATTGATTTCTAGTATGTACAAAAAAGGTCAAAGTTAGGGATACTGCTGCTTGCTTTTTACACACACCAGATGCTGATCTGAGTACCAGCTGCTAAGTATGTGTGCGCTGGGCAAAGAGACCAGTGAACAGTTTTCATCAAGGAGTTGTGTTCCCTGTTTGGTCTCCGTGACATTTTAGTACTGGTCACAATATGGGATAATTAATATGTGTAATAACTGAACAAAGTTGGTGTTATGTGTATTTTCAGTAGTAACGTGTGTTGTGTTGGTACACAAAGTAAAGGAGCTTATTGCTTATGAAAAGCTGCTTGCTTCCCCAGGCCTGAAAGGATAGAACTATATTGCAGCTAGAGCTGCAGAATGTCTGCCCTGGACTTTTCAAAGAAAACAAAAAAATAAATCACACCCTCATCCTGGTGACCAGTCCCAAATGCTAAATAGGTGTGCTCTAGGTGTGAGTGACAGCATGAAAAGCTTATGCCTTTGTGAACTATCCTGAACCTGTCTTTGTTATGTTGTTTGCTCCTTTTCAGGTTGGAATGAATGATCTAACACTGGTTAACCTTCATCTGGCCCTTGCACCCTCAGCAGGAGAGAATACAGAGAAGAATCATGATAGCCACAAATTAGCAACCTTTGCACAGACTCTGCAAGAAACACTGAAAGGTATGACTATGACATTATTTTTCTCCAAAGATATGGGCATAGGTCAGCTTGTTTAATACAACTAATCTAAAACTAAGGTCCACAAACACCCACAACAACTTTATATTCTCACCATCCCTATTTCAGGTTAAAAGTTCTAAGCTATTTCCATCCCATGAGTTTCTCAGTGTGTTTTTCTCTGTTTTTTGTCTGACTTCTAAGGCATAAGCTCCTTGGTACCAGGACTATCTTACTGTGCTGGGCACATTGTTGATCCTGAACAATTAACAGTAATTAACATGGGGCCTGATTCACTTTGCACTGGTTTGCCACTGATTTATATAGAATTACTCCTGATTGTACACCAGTGTAAAACCCCAGTTCAGCAAAGCTCTACTGATGTCAATGGAATACTCACATGCTTAAAGTTAAACACATGCTAACGTGCTTTGCTGAAATGGGGCTTATGTGAGATCAGAATCAGGACTAGTGATTTTTCATGCAGAAATTGAGTGTATGTATTAACTTCAGAGTATTTTTGTAACTATTTGGAAAAAAAACAGTGCATCTTTCAAATCATTTGATGCATATTTAAAAAGAAGAAGAAAGCCAAATCCTACTTTGTTATAAATTGTTGTAAATTCAGAGTAATTCAACTGACAGCATGTAAATCAGAGTAGATTTTGGCACTGAATATGTAATTTAATAAAGGGAAGCTTGACTCTGTCCCACTTCTGACAACCTGCCTGCTTCCTGTCCGGGTACTTGTAGGTTGGGCTCAAACAGTTTCTTATGAGGCTAAGCAGTGATTTTCCAGTACTTATGATTTTTTATATTAGGGCCCTTCATAGGGATAGGAAAAGTGAGCATGTTGTTTGCTGTTTAACAAAGACCAAACAGTTACAAAGTTAGGTATGGAATACTTGTGGCACCTTAGAGACTAACCAATTTATCTGAGCATAAGCATAAGATACATCCGATGAAGTGACCTGTAGCTCACGAAAGCTTATGCTCAAATAAATTGGTTAGTCTCTAAGGTGCCACAAGTACTCCTTTTCTTTTTGCAAATACAGACTAACACGGCTGCTACTCTGAAACCTGTCAAAGTTAGGTATGTGATGATTTTCAGTTTGGCCCAGTTTGGCAAGGTCAGCTGCTTGAAAAGTTCAGAATCTATACCAATCTCCTATTCCAGGAGAGGTGTGGGCAGTTTTTATGCACACTCTCTTCTTTTCCTTTGAGCTGCAAGATGTCAGTCAAGGCTGTTTTTAAGTCGTACTGTGTTAAGTATTTGTTCACATAACTTGAAATTTGAAAGGATTCTTTTAAAAAATGGATCATTTATGTAACCCATATGGGCCAAATTCAGACCTGGCATAAGGGGATGCAGGTTTATAGAAGCCAATAGAGTTGCACCCACTTACTCTGGGTCTGAATTTAGGTTTACATCTTTAGAGTTTCATTTTAGTTCTGTTTTCATTTATTTTAACCAGGGTTTAATATAAGAATGGCCATGCTGTGTCAGACCAATGGTCCTTGTGGTTTGGAACTTTACAGAGGCATGGTACTGTTGGGTTGTGTTCAGTTTTTCACCTAAAGCAGGAATTCAGACTCTTCGTCTTGTGTGAAGACTACTATGTATCTTCTCCAAACGAACAGTGTTCAGTCCCACTGAAGTCAATGAGATAACTCATGTACTTAAAGTTATGCATGTGCTCAATTTTCTTCCTTAATTAGGCCATAATATGTGGATAGTAAAGACAGAATTTCACCGGGATACTCAAGTGTGTCACTTAGTTTATGAATTAAAATGAAGTAAAGTGGAACTTTAAGGAAACCTTTTCTGCTTTCAGACTCCTTTTGTGAACAAATGGCAGGTTTGTTTTCTTGCACACATGGGAAGTGGCACCTGTACATTGGAGGAAACTAGTTATTAAGCATAGCTCCCTCATGGAGCACCCTGGGTCCTCAAGAGCAATAGAGTCTCCTTGTGCCTCCCTCATCAGTGGCCCTGTGGTCTTAGGCCAGTGAGCCCTGGATTCTTAATGCTCTTCCCTCCGGGAGCGATTGAGAGGCTGTCTCTCCTACAGCTGCTAGGAGCTGACCCCATGCAGCCAACTCCCTTTTTTTCCTCTCAAACATTGTGCCTGTCTGTGTTCAATGCACAAGTCTGTGTGATCCCACACATATTCAAGCCATCCTGGGCGAGCAGCTGGTTGTCCTAATATGTCAGTCAGGCTCCAGGTCCAGTAACTCCTCCTCCCCCTGGCTGGCCAAGCCCCCACAGGCTGTCCATGTATTGAGTGCCCAGTTTAGACAGATCTTTGAGGTTCTGGGAGGGTCCTTCTTTTTGGAGCCTCCTCATAGGTTCCCTGCTCTGTGTCATGCCCTTCTCATGATTATGCCATCACTTCCTTCAACAGTAGGTCAGGTCTTACCGCAGCACATGATGGAAATTCTATTTCATTGCTATGGGACTGATCCAAAGCCCATTGAGGTCAATGGAAAGCTTACCATTGAGTTACGTGGACTTTGGATCAGGCCCTGTGAGACTGCTGGAAGGAAATGAGGGCTTCATAATTCTCTGAGAGAAAACAGCGTTCAACACTGCTCATTACCTAGTAGGAGATGGTGATTTACCTTTCTTTGACTATCATTCCAAGGGATCTAGACATGCCTTCACTAATCACTTTGGTATACAGATGATCAAATAAAGAGATTGAGGAGGGGAGTAGACCATTGATAAGCGTCGTCTTGCCCAGAATCTGCAACGTACAGAGGTTTTTTGCATTTCAATACTGTGGCTGTTGGGTAGGCTAAGAAAGTATTGTTCTCCACTGCCATAAAGTCAACCAAGTACAGATCAGAGAAACTGTTCCGAGTAGTGTACAACTTAGAGCAGGGGTGGGCACGCTTTTTGGCCCGAGGACTATATCGGGGTGCGAAACTGTATGGAGGGCCGGGTAGGGAAGGCTGTGCCCCCCAAACAGCCTGGCCCCCGCCCCCTATCGCCCCCTCCCTCTTCCCGCCCCCTGACTGCCTCCCTCAGAACCCCCGACCCATCCAACCACCCCCACTCCTTGACTGCCCGCTCCCAGGACCTCCTGCCCCAATCCGCCCCCCCCCAGGACCCCACCTGCTATCCAACCCCCCTGCTCCCTGTCCCCTGACTGCCCTCCCGACCCGTAGCCACACCTCTGCCCCCTGACAGGCCCTCCCGGGACTCCCAGGCCCTATCCAACGCCCCCTGTTCCCTAACCCCTGACCACTCCCCCTCGAACCTCTGCCCCATCCATCCGCCCCCGATCCCTGTCCCCTGACTGCCCCCCCCCGCAACTCCCTACCCCTTATCCAACACCCCCCCCCCCGGCTGCCCCTGTCCCCTTATCATGCCGCTCAGAGCAGCAGGACCTTGCAGCCCCGCTGCCCGGATGGAGCCAGCTGCGCTGTCTGCAGGGCGAGCTTAGGCTGCGGGGGAGGGGCCGGGGGCTAGCCTCCATGGCCAGGAGCTCAAGGGCCAGGCAAGGACGGTCTCACGGGCCGGATATGGCCTGCAGGCCATAGTTTGCCCACCTCTGACTTAGTGAATATGCTTTGTCTCTGTTTGGAAATAGAACATAGTGGAATCTTTCTCACTCTGAAGATTTTCCCATCTGTTTAATTAAGATCACTTTGATCTGGATGATTCTGGCTATGGTAACATAAGAACCCACAAGACTGGACAAGCATGCCATCATCTCAAAGCTGAGTGCCACCTGATCTTGCCAGCTGAGATTCTGGAAGCGCAAAGCTCTGACTTGTGAGAGGACCTTTGTTACTCACAAATGGTGAAAACTGGGCCAGTGAGGGGCTGTTTGGAGTCAATTTTTTATGAAGATTACTAATACCTCCTTTTGGGTAGAAAAAAATGTACTAGGTTCTCTCAGCTGCTTTTGCTCAGGAAACCATCCCTTGACATTAGCAATCTTGCTAATTACGGCTTAGTCTCAAAACTTCTTTTCTTGAAGAGAGTGGTTAGGAAAGTTGCAGCAATGTGCCTCTGGGATCCTTGTGCTCCTTTTCAGTCTAGTTTCCAGCTGGGATGTTGTGATTGCATTAGTTTTCTTGGCCAGTTACTTTGGCCAAAGGCTGCATCTCCACGTGGATTCTTTTAGCTATTTCAGCAATTTTTGATATCCTTGTCCAAGAGCAATTGTAGACCTAATCTGAGGCTGGAGAGAGATGCTTTTGATGGCTCAGTTCTTCCTTTCTAAAAGGGGAAGGATGGTCCAGCAATTAGAGGTAATTACCGTGCTCTGCCACCCACTTCACTGCAACATTGTAACATCATGACCCAATGAGATCTGATTCATTTCCCTGCTCTTACCAAGACTGGGATCTTAGTTGGTTGTGAGATAAACATGCAAAACTCAGGACTGATGGATACCATCCTGTGCAACTTAGTGCATGAAAAGTGGTACCCGACCAGATTGGATATAGGCTGCAAGGTGGGAATAATACCTTTTAAAAGGACGCCTTCAAGAATTTGTTTATAAGCTGTTTAAACGGTGTTTTCTATTTGTAGTAATGCGTTAGAAGCACGCAAGTAAACGAATTACTTCCAGAGTGATTCTGACCTTATCCATCAGGCAGGCATTGATTTTCCTCGTAATTCTAATGGAGCTGAAAATAGCATGATTGTTTCTTTTAAAAGGGGGAGCCACCGTCACAAACACTCTGCAGAGTAATTACTAAATATCATGTGGTTTGTGATACTCTCAGAAGACTGAAAATAATGGTGGTTTCTCTGCTTCATTATTTTTAATCAGTAAAGGTTGGTCCTGCCACCCTTTGTTTCTTATGGGGCAGCTCGGTTTTGCAGCGGGGTATTTTTTCCCCTTCTAAAGCATAAGCAAAAAGATGAATGCAGTGTAGTTGTAGCTGTGTCAGTCCCAGGATATTAGAGAGACAAGGTCAGGGAGGCAGTATCTTATACTGGACCAACATCTGTTGGTGAGAGAGCTTGTCAAATTCTTGTCTCACCAACAGAAGTTGGTCCAGTAAGTAAAAAGATAGCAGGGAAGAGATGAACAGTGTTTGTTGTTTAACTTAAGCTCCCTCTGCTGGCTGACTGCCTCTACAGCAACAGAACATAATTGTAACCAGTTAGACCAGGGACCTTCAGACCTAGGGGAGAGTTCAGCCTACTGGTTAGAGCTGGATCTAGGGTGAGCACAGTCCAGGAAACAAGCCAAGGGTCAGTACTGGAGGCACAGAAGCCAAATGCCAGAGCCTGAGGGTAAACCACAGTTTGTAAGCCAGAGGCAAGCCAAGGACCAGTACCAGAGAGACTGAAGCCGAATCCAGAACCAGAGGATCAATCAGAGCAGTAAGCCAGAGGGCAGCAGGGGCCGGAACAAGGTCAAGCACAGCTGCAGACATGGTGCACATTGAGCAGTTGCTGATCTGCTGTGGGAACCAGGCTTATAAGCAAGGTTGCTAAACCAGCAGCCAGTCGGGGCTGTGGACACTCTGTCAATCCCAAGGCAGTACAGTGGGCTCACTGGTTGCCTAGCTGTGAAGTTAGGGAGCAGGCCAGTATCTGGACCTAGCTGATCTGGTCTGTGACAGTAACTGTAGGATGGTACATCAACAGCATATATTTGAAATAAACTCATTCTCAAACACCCAGATACTTATAATCCATACGATATTCTCCATCAGATTTTCTGAGGTCAAATTTTAGGCTATTTTAGCACATCTGTGTCCTTTTTTAGAAGTTTATTCATAGTAATTTATCAGGTCATAATGCAATGACTTCTTTGGTTGGACACCAGCATCATTGAGGTCATCACCACAACCCTGGGAGTGGTCTGAGTTAGGTACCAGAAGAATCTTTTATCAAGGGATGAAAGAGACACAAATATCTAAAGACTGATTCTCTTCTTACACTAGCATACATCAAGGATATCTTCATTGGTAGCCTTGGAGCTACACTGGTGTCAAAGCAGCAGGATATTTCAGGAATGGGGATGAGGTTTAAAAATAAAATATTTGGAATCTAGACAATTTTCCACATATATTTAAGGTGAGATTGTTAAAGAAGCCTAAAGAAGTTGAGTGCGTAACATCCTTAGTTCCTTTCAAAGTCTCAACCTTAGACAAACTCTGAGGCATCTCAAAGTTCCACAAAATCAATTTAATCACATAGGCAAATAAATACAAGTTTCATTTCTTCTATAGGTGTATAGAGTCCTGGATTGTGAATTGGAAGGGGCCATGACTGCTGCTTCTGCCATCAGGCTCACAGGCTGCTAGACCTGGTGGTTTTTTTAGATTTCTTAAATCTACAATTTTAGAATGAGGGTCCTGCATTCTTGTGTTTTTCTGGCACTAATCCATCCTTGAGGAAGACACACCCTTCTTAGATTTTCACAAAAATGTCTTAGTAGCAAAACTGTAAAAGGACAGCAGCAGAGCATATTTGGCCCAAAATGTAGATCTTGTTTAAAACAAAACAACAAACAAGCAAACAAAACCCTCCCACCTTTTACAACGCCTAAGATATACAAGACCAGACTTACCACCACTTGGTGGTAGGGTCAGTCTGTCGTGTACAAATGGATAGTTCCCCAGACATAGTTGTGATGAGGGAAATTCAAAAAGGAAACAAGCAGCATAAATTGTGCAATGTATATTGGATTTCCAGATTCTTTTTTTGGTTACAATTGTAGTAACCTGAGTGGCTATTAGTAAGATAGGTAAGCTAATGTGTTCGTTCACAATAGAAGATTTTTAACCATATCATGTCATGTTCAAAAAACAAACAGCCCTATGCAAAGTAAATTCAGTATCGCTACTCAGTGGTTGTATCTTTTCCCACATCCCATATTTAATCACTGATTTTTTTCCTCCATTCTTTTCTTGTCCTTTTAATTTTTCTAGGAGAAAAAGATTTGATCATCTTAGGCGATTTTAACCAAGCCCCAGACAGCACTGACCTCGATCTTTTGAGAAAAGAAAAGTTCCATCACCTAGTCCCTGCAAATACATTTACAAACATCAGCACAAAGAATCCTCAGGGATCTAAGTCGCTGGATAACATCTGGATCAGTCGAAGCTTGAAAAAGATCTTCACAGGTAAAATTTCTCTACCAGCGGGAACAATGTTTGAAAACACATTCTTTATATGACCCCTTCTAGGCTGGCATCTTGACTCACCCGTGGATAGTGTTATCTCATCATCAGTCCCATTGATGTCAGTCGGAATGAGATTCCTCATGTGCATAAATGTTTGCAGAATTGGGCCCTTGGTCTTATATGGATTAAGCCTCTTTCCTCTGGCCCCTTTCCGTACTAATCTTTTTCTCTGCAATTGTTCTTCATGCAGGTCACTGGGCTGTTGTGAGAGAAGGCCTTACAAATATATGGATCCCTGATAACTGGTCCTGGGGAGGAGTGGCTTCAGAACACTGCCCTGTATTAGCTGAATTTTACATGGAAAAGGACTGGAACAGAAAAGAGGTGACCCGAAATGGAAACGGGGTGACCGTGGAACGCAGTGACTCACACATTAAACATGAACGATGATGAACTAGGGCGTGGCAGGGCCCAGTCAGAAGATCCCATTGCTTGAGGCTCAACTGTGAAGCAGAACTGCCTCCTCCCCCATTTAAAGAGCATCAGCCTCTGCTTCTGATGATGTCTCTCCCCTACTGCACCTACCCCCACGCCTCCAGTGCCCCTCCTGGGTGTTGTAGGAGATCTCACTGCCGCAGAGCGATTTGTAACTTTTTACAGATGCAGTGGACGCATACGCACCTGGAGACTTGGAGGAGAATCATACAGAAAATAAAATGCACTTTTACTACAGCACATTATCTCTGTTAAAACCCAGCAGAACAGGGCTTTTGTTGTTGTTGATGTTTTTAATTGATTCCTTGTAAAGTGAAGCAATAATGGAGACCATAAAAAGAGACAAGAGACATGCCTTGGAAACTGTCAGTGATTTGTCGAGTATAGTTTAACACGTGCAAAAACTGTCATGATGTAACATTTCTTTCTGACCAATACATGATCTGACCTGAGGATTATATAGGGCTAGTTTGAGTCTTTTGATCTCAGAGAGGCAAACGTATTCCCCAGTTCTCCCATTGCTCCCGAAGGTGGAGAGTAATTTACTTCATCCTTTTTCAGACTCCAGCTAACTCCCCCCGTGCACCCAGCCAGCTACTCTAGCTGTCAGTGAGTGAGCAGTGCCAAGGCTGCTACTCCTCTCTGCCTCCTTGCTCACAGGGTGAAATATTAGAGAAGCAGCCCCTGCTTCCCACCCTGCAGATGGAGCTGTAATCTGAGTAACCCTGGTATGGCTGAGCAGAGAATTTGCGGTGGTCTTGGAGACAATCTAGTCCATAGTATTTATCCATGAGTTAGCATTTTTAACAAACTGCTGTCTGCACAGTGCAGTGGTGCACATCAGTGGGGTGTGAATTCTAATGCTAACCAACATCATCAGCCAGGACTAAGTTAACGTGCACGAGGGAACTTCTAGTGCACCCCAGCAGGGTCTACACAGGCCATGAGTATGCGACACTTTGGTGCACATTAGAGTTCACGCCCCACTGATATGCACTACCATACCAGGTAGGCAAGCCCTATTTTTGTTCTGTCCTGAAAGCTGAGGGAATACAGTCCTAGAGTCGTGAAGTTTAAGGCCAGAAGAAATCACAAGCTCATCTAGTCTGACCTATATATCACAGGCCACTAATATCACTCAGCACCTGCACACTAAACCCAACAACTGAAATTAGACCAAAGTATTACAGCCCACTGGAGACTGGACTGTTATGGGCCACAGGCAGAGAACAGGAGGGACTGAGGTGCACCAATGCCCGAGGCCACCACAGTGGTAGGGAAATGATTAAATGAGATCTATCTGGACAATCCTTTCTTGAACATGGTATGCCTGTGTGAAGTGTGCGGCAGTTTGGGGAAAATTTTGTTTCCCTTGCCTGTCTTGTGGCGAGAGGACTTCAGTCAACAGGCTGTCAATCCAGTGGCTGGAGCCAAGCACTACATTTGCACATATGCACAATTCTCAAAGTAATTATTGAAAAGCAAGAGACACAAAGCCAACCAGGATATGAAAGAACAAATCAGCATTTACCAAAGGAATGTGTTGAGTTTGAAAGGAGCCGTAGCCCTGCCAAATGGCCTGCTAAGGTGCGCTCTGTTCTAGGCTCTAACAGATGATCCAGAACATTTTCACCATGAATTAAAAGAAAAGGTTTATAACATTGTGCTATGGAGAAAAAATAAATCACAGCTTTATATCTGAGTGGGTTATTATAAATGAGTGCTTAAAAGCAAAATACATTAAATCTCCCCACGCTACTTTCATTGTACTGGCTTTTGGAAATAAAGTCTGAACGCTTAGTTAGGAGTAACTAAGTGATACCACTCACACATACACATTGTTATTTTGCAGAAACAATAATTTTGAACAGATTTGCTTAAATTTAAAAAAAAAAAAAAGGAAACTGGAATAAAATAAACCTGTTTGGACCTGATTCTGAACTCACACTGCTATAAATCCTGGGCTAATGCCATTGAAGACCATGAGAGGTATGTCTGCCCTTCCCGTTGGCCCGGAGTGGCAAACCATGGCCAGCGGGAGTCGCAATCAGCCAAACCTGTGGACGCGGCAGGTAAACAAACTGGCCCAACCCGCTAGGGGCTTTCCCTGAACAAGCGGTGCCCCTAGTTTGGGAACCACTGCTGTAGTGTAACCATTTTCTAAATGCTTCACAGAGCAAGAGATTTAATATATAGTTTACATTTATATCACATCTTCCATTCATAGACATCCTGGTTCTGGAAACCCTGTGCGTCTCCTAAACTTTCAGCACAGGGGTAATCCCATTGACTTCTCATGTGCTTAAGTGCATGCATGAACGTTTACAGAATTGGGGCCATAGATCTCAAAGAATTTTACAAAGATATGTCCTTTGATTCCCATTTTCACACATACAGAGAAACTGAGGCACAGTGACTTGCCCAAAGTCACAAAGTGAGTAACCAGCAGAGCTTGGAATAGCATCCAGGAGGTTTGCTAATGCCTAGTGCTGCATGGACCTGATTCTGGGGTCTTTACTCATGGTGAGTGGCACCTAATTCCTCCAGTAATCCCACTGAAATCAACTGATCACTTGCAGAGTCAGGTATTACTCAACATGAGTAAGGGTGGCAGAATCCAGGCCTGTATGAACAACCTATCATCAGAAAAAGATTATCATAGAGTTTTTCCTGCTTTTTTTTAGTTCCTAATATTTTCCTCCTGTAAAAATGGCTGGAGACTGAATTTACCTTTTAGCTAATGAAACTTAAGCTAAATAAGCCAGACCCCCAGCTGGTGTGAACAGTGGAGTAGCACGAAAGTCAATGGAGCTATGCTGATTTACACCAGCTGAGGATCTGGCCTGGCGTGTTGATGGCAGCCTTTAACCGGTGGTGGGTACAATCAGAAAAGTGGCTATAAAATGGCATAGGGGGACTAGAGATTGCTGGCAGAGCAGGTTAATAACTCTAGCTGAACATTAGCCTTCCTGCTGTGCAGGTGCTCTGGGGAAGGTTGGTGAGGCAGGGATGAAGGCTGCAGGCCAGTGAGGCTCCCCAGGAGAAAGGCAGGAAACTGCACAGAGTAGCTGTTTGGTAAGCAGAAAGAGGCGCTTTGGAGCAAGAAGTCTACAGCGTGGAGGAAACAGCCCTGATGCTTTTGATTCCTGGCTATGTAGAGTAAGTGAATTTAACCTCTGTGTGAGGGGGAGTGTAAGGCATAGGCCCCTATTACATCCCATTGGGACTTATGGAGATATAAATGGTGCATAGGCCTCTTGCTGCCCTCTGCACAGGGGACTGTAGCAGCCATTAAGGGGAGTTTGCTCCGTTTGTTGTATATGGTGCTCTCTGAACATGGTGAGGGGGGGGCATTAATAGCTCTTGTTTGGAGTGGGGGCCTTGGGGTGTTTTGCTTTCCAGCACTCTCACAGCCTGCTCTCATGTCGTTATCCTCTCGATAGTGTCTCCATCATGTTTTACTTCGCTTTCAAGCCAAACCAAACCCTGCAAATGCAGCCGACTGTCTCCAGCTCACGCTGTGCTCCTTCCTGCTGCATTCATCTCCACCAGAAACTCCGAGGAGAAAAGCAAAACTTAGGCAGCTTTTGTGTGTGTGTGTGTGTGTGTGTGTGTGTGTGTGCGCCTAAAGCAGAAGCAAAAGTAGTTCACCTTTCCATAGCCACGTTGGCTCCGCAGTGCTGACAGTAACACAAACTTGGGCCTGTCAGCAAACTAAGTAGATGGGATTCAGCCAGTGCAGAGAGGGGCTGGAACATGATGGCATCTTTACAAGCCACTTTATATTACAGGGCCGTCCAAGCTACAAACTTGACTCAAGATCTGGGTTTTGAACACATACACCCCAACACCTATTCAGGATGTTTAGATCTGGGGTGGGAGTGTTTGAGCTCTTAGGGACACACAGGTCAGATAAGACATTCAGATCTGGAGCCAGTTGTAGATTCTGAATCCATCCAGCCTTAGGGGGTGTTTTGTGGGTCTGGGTTTGGTTGGAGCCTATCACTAATTGTTAATAATTATAACCACACACTAATTCAGTTAGTGTCTGAGATGCTGTGCTTTCCAAGTGACCAGCTCATATGACTCTGCGTTTTACCCTTTCAAAGGAGGCACTATTCTCAGAGCAAGTTGTGAAAACTGACAAGGCTGCTTACTATATATGTAAATCTAGAGTAACTCCGGAGCCACTCTGCATTTACACCAGCAAGTGAGATCACAAGTGACTGGAATTAGTCTCACCAATGTAAATACAGAGTAAGAGATAAAGTTGGTCTACAGTTTTCTTCCATGCTCAGGAAATACAGTCCATGAAGTGATGAGACCAAGATTCTCAAGGTCTCTGTTCACTTTTAATTGAACAAATGAAAGCAAGATTTTTTTTTTAAGGCAGCTATGAAAATGACCCACCTAGAGTAAAGGTATGTGGATAGCTATAGCTCAGAGCTATTCACCTCAGTTAATTCTATCTGACACCAACCATTAGATAGGGGGCCTAGTAAAGTTGTCTGATTATCTTGTAGGCAAGTTTGCTTTGTTAGACACTAGTATTTTCCTTTTGGTTCCACTTTAGGGTGTGTCTATTTTTTTGTGAACCTAGTTTATATCCAGCTTCAGATCAGTTAAGAAGAATTTCACTAGATAAGACTGAATTTGTGAGATGTTTAGTTCTCTATAGTATCATTTCTCTCCATCTCCTTCCCCTGCACCACATACCCAAATTGACAGACTTCTTAGAACACACAGGACTAAATCCTCCTTGATTTCTTCAGCTGCCTTGTCCTGTTGACTTCAGGATCTGGCCTATGCTGTGTACCAACTACCTGGTTACCAGCTTGTACAATTAGGAGAGTGTGTATAATACACGGCAACTGGTCGGAGGACTTCAGTGACTTATTTAACAACACAGTGTTCTAAATGGTCTGCAGAAATAGTCTGGCTCTGGGCAAAATGTTTCCTGAAAGGTCTCTGAGGCCAATATAGCCTAAAAGAGTGAATGCCAAAAAGTGATTAAATGGGTAATTCTGTCCTAGAGATGGATTTCATCAAGCTGATTGAGTGATCAATGGCTAGGGGTGAATCATACCTAGACAAAGATCTAATGTTAATCTATCAAGCATATCCTCACTCTCTCAAACATAACATCAGATTCAGTGTCCTTTCAAGAGGCTTGACCATGGAACTGGCCTTCTGATTATGCGATGTACTGCTATGTGGCAGATTCAGGTTTGATACCGATCATCACCTGGGCAGGCGATATGGGAGGGCTGCAAATATTTACTAAATAAATCAAAAGTACCCCGATGGATTTTAAGGCTCTTGTGGGCAACGTGTATATTTCCCCCTTGAGAGAAATGAAATATTTTTGATCTATGTATCTCGTAGGACTTGAATGACAGTGCAAGAGAGTGAAATTCTCTATGCAGAGAATAGGTAAAGTGTGGCTAGTGCAAACTCCTC